TCTGAACTAGTTCAAACTAACGCGCCAATTGTACCAACTCATTGTGCCCAATCAATTGTGCCCAACCCGAACCACCGTCGGCCCAATAGCGACTACACGCTTGAGACGGAGGAGGGAGGATCGAGGGTGGATGGAGAGACAACGTGGTCGAGACTGAGATCGACGCTAATACAAGTGGTTGAGATATTGTTATAAATAAAGAGGTCCACGGGATTCACCTGTGAGAATTATAATTAGAAGATTGTATACATGTTGTTGATTCAGGTAACCCGAGATTGTAAAAAGCTTTATAGACATGTATATACATGATGTATATACATGATAATTCATAACCTTAATTTAATAAATTACAGTGTTAACTAGCATCAACATCCGTACTCCAATTATTTAGCCTGGATTCTCCATAGAAATTAAGGGAATTGATCTACAAATCAATTATTGTTTAAAAAATTAATCTGTTAATCTTTAAAAGAACTAGTTCAAATGAAAAGTAATTTATTTAAAAATAACTTATTACTTATTTAAAAATTACATATTACAAGAAAGTTACAATTTAAAAATTTATTAGGCTTTATTTTTTTTATATTATTCTTTAATTATTATTAGTCTAACTTTTTTTTAATTAAATGCTACACAAATTTACCTGCTACACGGATGCATTTAAATGAATATAATTACGAAAATGATAGTCACAATGGATCACGAGATAAAGAAATGTGGTACGTACTTACCGCACATATACGAAACGTGCAATTATACAATATATTTACATTTAAATACAAATCAATACAAATAATATTTATATTTCAAAATTTTCATATTAGGCACCTGCTCGAAAAATTAAATAAAGTTGTCACAAAAGAAGAGTTTCGGTAAGTTAATTCTTTTTCCGAAAAAGATTTTCTATCAACTTTTGTCAAATGGTGTATATTATTTACTGGTGTATATTATTTTTTCTGTCATAATCTAGATTTTTCAGTTACAATTCATTAAATTTGCATAATGTAAAAAAATATGTAATTTAAAAAGGCAGGATTAATAAATAAGTAGAGTACATGTGTTTTCAAATCAAGCTATTTTCATATAATGTTATTTACAGTATTATCTGTCAAAAGCTGATTGGAAAATAATTTTGTGTTATAAAATTATTCTTAATAAGCAATTAACTTTGTATTCGCGCTAATATTATTTTTAAATTGTCATTTCAGAACCCTACATATGGAATTTATGGAATATCACCGGTGAGTAAATATTTTTACGATTCTCGTCTTTATTTCTTTTTTTTAGTTTTGCCACTAATGTCTCATTTCTATACCTGTAGTTGTAAACAGAAAAAGTGATATTGTTTGTTGTAGTGAAATTATGACGTTTTATATTTGCAGAATTATAAACAATAAATTGGACAGATTATTGCGTAAGCAATCAAATATCATGCCTCCAAAACCACCTTCATTTCCACTTCAATCGGTGCAAGAAGTAACTAATTTTAATAATATATCACAGGAAGAGTACGATAATGCCGTAAGTTTTTCAAAAACTTTGTTAATTGATGAAATAATAATTGAATGAACAATAATATTTGAAAATAAAATTTAATATATGTTTTGTTATACAGGTCCAATATCTACATTTTATAGGTGGCTTTACTTTACATGATACGGTAAAATATTGCATGAAGGAAGTAATGACAGATGATACAATTAAACATTATTCGGCTTGGGGGGAGCGGGGAAATCTCCCATTGTTTGATACTAAAGTAATAAGAGTAATATATGGTAAGTTACTTTCTGATACAATGTACATTTTTTTTAATTTTACTGTATACGTAATATTTGAAACAATCTTTATCTCAAATATCTACAACAATTCATTTAAATAGAAAAAAGTTATTAATTGTAACAATGTGTTATTTGTTTAATTTATAGATGCTGTATGTATGAATACACATTTTGAAAGACCACTAAGAGACGAATTTTTTCGAGAGGTTGCGGAGGCAGTACGTTTTGGAAAACAAAGAAATCGAAATATGAACAGAAGAACGAATATAATAATTAGAGGAAGAGGACGACGCCAGCGATTGCGAAATGAGGCTGATAATCATTTGCTTGGTGAGGATCATTTGCGGCGGGATACACACAACATGGACAATAATGATAATCATATGGATGATGCAGATAATGGCGATTTCAATGAGGACAATATTGATGACGGCAACAGCGCAGATAATGAAAATTAATTTTTACATTATCATTAATATTACCAAAAAATATATGAGATAAAAAAAATATATAAAAGATACATATGTAAAAAATAAATATATTCATGCCTAACATACAAATTCTATTATGATTTGAAATATTGCACATTCTACTATATCAATTTTATTACAGACATTTGAAAGCAACATCAACAACGTTTAATGATTAATAAAGAATGATAAACATAATTTTTATAGAAGCGATAATAGGTATATCGGAAAATGTCCTGTTTTTCGCAAAAAGGCAATATATATAGTTATATATATTGTGACGGGACGTCCCTTTTTGGACCGTCCGTCACAAGGGATCTGCGGACCCGACCGCGGGCGGTAGCTTCGAGTCCTGTGTCCTTCCGATTTCCGGAGGCGGACGCGTGGCGCGGGCTGCGGGACTACGTTTGCGTGGTTCCCGCGCCCGAATACCGATTATCGTTTGTAATTACTTTTTAGTCCGTAGCGATCTCGATTATTTAACTTAGCGTATCGGCGGCTCCCGGAGA